CCGTCCGCAAAGGGCTAGATAGACCATAGTTACATTCTATACGCACTAACACCTACTTCGCGGCGTGCTGCCGAGTTATATGTATAGAAAAAGAAATAGCTATACAAGCATTGCCTATGTTCGGCTGTCCAAAGGTTGACATGTTCAAGAAAAGCTTTTAATTTTGCGCCGCCCCCGAAAAGGTTGAAATGTATTTAATATACTACCTAACGAGTAAATAGATTTCATTCATATCTGTTACGTAATTGTATGATTCAATGAAATAGAAATTACTTCATTAGGAAATAGAAATTATTTTATACTTTTTAGTGCTTTTCGAAGTCGGTGTATTTTTTTTCTGAAAATTATTTTTCTTAGTCCGCGTGGGGTAATTCGATCCACACCTTTTCCAATTAAATAACGTTATTCTTGACATACTCGTTACAATTTTTTAATAATAATCATAATTAGAAAGGGGCTATAATAAACGCAGTATACATGAGATTAAGATGCCTATATTTGACTTTATAATTAATTTTTAAAGAATTCTTCATTTTTCAATGAGAATTCCAAACGGTCATTAAGAAAGTTTGTGTGGGACATATAATGTGTTAAAGACTGAAAACAAGTATGATATCGATTTCGATTTTTGAAATTGTAATATTAAATAAAATTATATATCTGTTGTGAATATAACCTGACCTACTCACAGCGATTAAAAAAAAGGATTCGATGTTTATATAGCTTATACTACTCACCGAGAAGCGTAAAAAATGTATAATCAATATAGACCCTAAAACTAATCATTTTTATCTAAAATTAACTTTTATTATTTAATATCGTTCTAACTTATGATTGCACCATTTTATTTCCGATACAGAGAAATATCAAGGTTATAAACATAAGATTATTATGTATTAATATCAATAAAATTACTTATTACTACTGTTCTATGTCACATATATGATTCCCTTTACAACACAGTTAATACACGTCATAGACATGCTTATAAATATTCACATTAGGTAATCGGTATACAGTATTGTTCGTACAATGAACGAATTTGGGTGTGACCCAAAAGTAACGAGACTGGTCCAATAAATCATTGTACCTGTAGAATCAGTTCTCTGTGACATTATCACTTTCAAAGTAGTCCCCTTCAGCATTCACACACTTATGCATTCGGCGCTGCCATTGCTGGTAACAATTCTGGAACGAAGATTTTGGAAGTCCTTTCGGAAGATTCTCCGTTTTTGCCTGAACCTCTTCAACTGAGGTGAAATGGGTTCCCTTTAAGCAAAATTTAACTTTAGGAAATAAAAAAAAGTCGCATGGATCCAAATTAGGTGAATAAGGAGGATGCCCCATCACAGTAATATTTTTGCTAGTCAGAAACTGCTTGACAGACAGTGCCGTGTGAGCGGGTGCATCATCCTGGTGCAACAGCCATCCATCGCTCCACAACTGTGGCCTTTTTTCCCTAATTTTTTCACTAAATCTTTTTAGTACTTTAATGTAATAGTGTTGGTTAACAGTCTGATCACTGGGAAACCACTCAATCATTGCAATTCCATTAATGTCGAATTTTGATTTTGACATGCGTGCTTTTTTGGGTTTTGGGGATCCTGAAGATTTCCACTGCATCGACTAGCGCTTACTTTGTGGGTCATAGGCAAAAATCCATGTCTCATCACATGTTACAACATATTTCAACAAATTTTACAAGAAACTTGATGTTTATTCGCTGTTCGGTTTTTACGTTAGACATTTTTTCGGCAGAATGCAGTTGCACGTGTTCACTAAATAACGCAATACTTCCAAATGGTATGACCGATTCAATCGAAATTTGCAACATGGATAGAGGAGGTACATGGGATAATGCCACAAAAACAATTGCTGCCAATTCCATTGTTTTTTCAAGATACACACCGAGTCTCGTTTCTTTTGGATCACACCTCGTATTATAATCGATACCACAGTTTCCACTGTTACGGTTAATTTCGCATCTCCGGACCAAAGCACAACACACATACATATGTATATGTATATACATGTATATTTATATGTATAATAGTATATACATATGTATAATATTATAATATAATCTTGTGGTTACAAAACTGAACTAATACAAAGCCCTAAAAAATGTACTTACACTTTGACTGGCTATTACACACGTATTTAACTTTGATTAAGATGTTACCTAATATATTTACAGTCTAATAGAATAAATTAACAAATGGCACTGAGTTATTGAGTAGATTAGCCCTTCAGCAAGTTGTTTACACATTCGTGCGTGTTCGCAAATATTCAAGTCAGTGGATTTTATGAAAGACATCGAGTATTTCTTGCGTTGGACATAAAATAATACGATTATGAATTTAAATTTTATTAAATAAGGAAAGTTGAGTTTACAGACAACGGGTTAGACTTAGTACCTATACTGATTTTACATTTCTCGGAGAGTACTATAAATAGAGTACTACAAGTATCGGATTTTTCAATTTTATCACCCCATCTAGATTTCAATTCAGGATTTTCATATGTTTTATACATGCCAATGTTATATATGAGCTGTTTATTTTGAAACTGATGCAAATCTACTTTAAGTTGAAATTATTTTTAACCGAATATATTATAATACAATTTAGCTCCGGTAAATTTTAGAAATACTGCAAATACTATGAAAAATTATAAATTCTACAATGTTAGTATATAGGCAACCTCAACATGAGTGATGATATATTACATGTGTGTCCAGGAACTGTTGATGATTTTTATTATCTACTTGCAAATAAGTTTTACTCCACTTTTTAATAAATACTCAACAAAGTCGACACGATTCTTGTTTTAGTAACGGTGCACAAAACCCTTTGACAATTTTCACTATTATGTTAAACCTAAGTACGAGTTGTGGTTTAGTTTATTAAAAGCAATATATGAGGGAACGCGAACATGGATGAACGTGCGAGTGAGAGAGTGCAATCGACGACAAGATTAGACATGTTTCGGACGTGTTCCTGTACGGACGTATTACGCAATTCTTTCTTGATTCATTGTTTATTATACTAAATTCATTATTCTTTATATTAAATTAATTATTTGCTAAAGCCGAGCCATTTCTCAATTAGACCATCCCTTCGATCCATTCCTACATATATGGCTTAGAATAATTGCAAGGAAAATTATAACGGTGATGCACCTGAATATAAAACGGGTAAGTAATAATAGGAAAATAAAAATATTTTTCTGACTAGTAATGTCACTCCAATAAAATCCTCATTTCCAAGGAATTTCATGATTTTTATTGTGCTAATAGAACTAACCATATTATTGATAATGAAAGAAGAATCTTGGAGTCTAGATCTGAATATAAAAATAATTCGGACTAAAATGACTCAACGAAATTAAGAAAAAGAATAACTGTACAACTGAAATATTATCCGTTTAAATAACGATTACAACAATTCATTAATTTTCAAAGTGAGGCAAGCCCATCTGGATGTAATAAAACCTTTATCTTTTTTAGCCAGCACTTTAAACACTATGGGGTAATAAATATATGTATATTATCTAACACCACAAAAATACAAAAAATTCGTCTGTTAGTGCGAACTAATATTTTTAAAATTACTGAAATGCAAAGCTTTCAATATCTGGCAATAACGGAAAATGAACTTACTCAATGGACGTACTTGTAATAATATTTTATTTAGCAGAAGAAATCGTATACTCAAGTATAATGTAAGGTTCTTTTGCCTGCACCTTAAGATGAAACTGAAAATTAAATCATGAAAATTGAACTTAAAAATTTTCAAACATCAAAATGCCTAAATTTCCAAACTCCGGAATTTTCAAGTTTCAAATTTCAAAATTTTTAGTTATAGATTTTTAATTTACAAAATATATAAATTTTTATGTTTCCAAAATCTTAAATTTCCGATTTTTCAAATTTTCAGTCTCCAATTTTGGAATTCCCAAAATTTCCAAAAGTTCAAATTTCTAAATGTCCGGAAGTCTAAATTTTTAAATCTGCAAATCTGCACAATTCCACTTGCATAACTTATCTAAAATTTCAAATTTTTAAAGCTATAAAATCTACAGCAATGATTAAATTTCCAATTTCTCTAATTTATCCAAGTTTCTAAATTCTTGAATTCTTAGCTTTTCAAACTACTCGATTTTCAAATCCTAAATTCGAAAATTTATAAATTTTCAAATCGTTAAAGCTTAAGGTCTCCAAAATTTTAAAATAAAAAATTTATCGAAAATTTATAATTTTGTAGATTACTAAATTCGGTAGTCTGTTAATTAAAAACTCTGAAAGTTTTCACATTCCTAAATTTTAACATTTATTAACTAAAATCTATTGAATATTATCTTTCTCGCGTGCGTTACCATATTATACGGTTAATCGCAAATAAGTAAAACCGCGGGTGTGAATTCGCGGGTACGGAAGTCCCGATATCAGCTCCATAACTGCTATATTATCTATAACTTTAAAATCGATAATCGTATTCGTTTTACAATGACTAAAAATTTTTATTGTATAATAATTCTACAATTACAGAATTATGCAAAGCCTACATTTCACAAAAGTTTCTTAATTTTTTTAATTTAAAATTTTTATCCTAAGGGTAATAGCGGTAGACTTTTTCATGAACCGATTATTTATTGTGTAACCAATGACGCGCATTTCGTCTTCGTAGTTTCTGTTCATAACCACTTGCGGTAACAATTTTTGCATAATTTTAACTATATCTATTATTTAAAAACAAGTTTATCTACGAGAGTAATATTTGAAAAATTATTAGTTTTCATAACTCAATAGAATTGATCCTTTCCATGGATATTCACAATTTTTTACAATAACAAGTTAGTCAATAACAAATAATTTGTATAACATTGTCATAACTCAAATAATAATTTAGCGCATTAGTTAAAAAGTTACTATCGTAAACTGTAAATAGGCACTTACTTTCAATCGGTAATAAAGATATTTATTGCGAATTTACATTATTTATGATCAACAGATTGCAAGACATGCACGAAATAATCCACTTTTAATGCAAATGTTAGTTCTAATTTACATTGCATGACAGTTCACAATGAAAAACTTAGAATGAATTATGAACAATACATAATTTTTTAGTAATGTGGAATGTATTTTTATTTAATAACAAATGGAAATTATTTTACTCACTTTAAATAATTATTTTCTCCAGGTTGTTGGTGATTCTGTCTAGAAATTGCGTTTTTACGAGAAGTAGGTTGCGAAAGAACCAGCTCGATCGTATCGGAAGAGCTTTGCAACATTTTCAGAGCCTCCTCATATCGTAGGTGCAATAAATTCTGTCCATTTATAGCCACGATACGATCACCTATGATCAATAAATTCCGCCAAATTAATGTGAACATCGTTGAAAATAGCACTTCAAGCTTACCTTTATTCACGTTTCCGGCCATATCGGCCGACCCTCCAACCGATACCGCCTGAACGTAAACGCCTCCATCGTTACCTTCCGTCACTTGCAAACCTATACTACCGCCATGCCCTCTTTCCAAATTGATAGTTTGCAGAATTCGTTCTTCAGCAAAAGATAACTCCTCAAGACGTGCCGCTAAAGAAGCGGACATCGATTCATCTTCGGTAACGTGGAACGTTTCGTCATCGGTACGAATGTCGGCATCTGTAGAAAATTTTTCACAATTCACATACGTCACTTTTCAGTATGGTTCTTCATGTCGTAATTTTTTAGTTATAAAATAACATTGTTAGTTGGACCTAACATTGGTATAACTATATCGACACACAAATTTCTGTAATTTATATCAATTTTATTTTAGAAAATTATCTTGACGTTTATCCTACAAAACTTCAAAGTATTAACAATTAAATTTTGCAACGCGATATTACAAAAATTATGACAATTTATGTGTAACGAAATTGTTGTATTCAATTTCAAATTTGCGTTTAATACTTTAATTATTAATTGTATAAATAAAATTAATGTACTAATAAAAATATGATGAATTTTATAATTAAGTTAAATTAATATATAATAGTTCATTTCTTAACCAAATTGAAAAATACTAAATTAGACAGTTATTTTAATAAAATGAAACATTTGCTTTTTAATTCGATTATTTTTACAAAAAATTTTATAAATTTTTATTTTAGGGAAGGCAGCTCCAATGACCTTGACATAATATTGTCAAGATCACCCACTTAAGTAACATTCGACAGGTTTTAACTGTAGCTCATTTTTTATTAAAAAAATTATTGGCATATAAAAACCAATAAATTTTTTCTAATTTCAATTATTTAAAATAATTATCTTCCTATTCTAGAATGGGCGAGGGGATTAGACATTTCCTCTGCACTGAAAAATAAGATACGACCATGTTGCAGTCTAATACTTCAAAAAGCTAAAAATGTTTGACATATTATAACATTCATATTGTATATAGAATCAGACAAATATTGAGCACCGCATACATACTCTAGTAAAGACCTCTGGCGTCTCTGCTAATTTTTATTGGTAATAACTTTTTAATAAAACACCAGCGAGGGCTAAAAACCGTTTTGGGGTCATTGAAGAGAGTGACCTTAACAACACCCCTAAAAGTAAACATTTACCAAAAGATTTTGTTCAATACATTTGTTCATTTTTAACACCATTTCGGTAAAAAAAAACTTTTAGTGTGTTTTGTACTCTTTTGCACACGAAAATAATTTCGTTAATATGAAGCTTATATCTTGTTTAGATACAAATAACGGAAAATCTAAATGATTTCCGAATATCTTAAAATATTAAAAATATTAAATGATAAGGTTACTAACTGAGCACATATGCTTCGGGTGGTGGAGATTCCGTAGATCTTGCAGACAGTGATTGAATCGACGATTCCGTGTCTGATTTTAGCGACAGGGATTCCATGTCGTCGGTAAGAGCGGTGTCTTTTTGAACGAGGCTGCTGTAGATCGCTCGTGTTCCCATTTTCACCCCTAAACGACGTGGTAAACTGGGTGTGCGATGACCACCTGTTTGCCTGGGTGTTCCGTAATTTGGTAAACTAGAGGTCTTCACCTACAAAATATAACATAACATTTATCACATGTTGCTCTCAATATTAGAATTAACACTAAAATTACAAAAGCGAAATTGATCATTTTACAAGTTCCTTATTTTAAATTGCAAAATCTGTTTAGACAGTTTTCTTGAAATCTATGTTGATTTTTATCAAGATAAAGAATTAAATTACATAATATTATTGATATGATAATATAGTTATCATCGCACTCATAAATACATGACATTAGTTATTAAAGTGTTGATTTATTTGAATACATTTAAAATTATTTCTAAAAGTCTGATATATTCTATGAAAACTAGTATTAATGACAAATATTTAGTAACATAGCTATGAGAAGAAGTAAGCGAAAAAACTGAAAGATTCTACGCAAATGATCTGAATGTAGATATATGTACATTGTCAATCATCTCTTAGAGGGACCTTTAGATTTCATCCATTGTTTGTTATCTATTAAAAAGTTATAAAAGAAAATAAACTTATAGCACAGTGGTTAGACGGTAATAGAGTGCCCATGTTAAAATAGATTACAGTTTGGTTTGCATTAAGTTATGTTAGAATTAACTATTAATAGGTATAATTTCTAATAATTTCTAACAAATAATAAGTAACAGTTACAGCCTTTTGAAAATCACTCAGGAAAAAACCTAGTTAACACATAGGAAGGACAATGTTACAGAAAGTATTTCACTATAATACAAACATTACGCTATAGGTTTCATTTTCTCAAAACAACCGCAGGATATTACTTTAAGTCATGACCTTGACATTATATTGAAATATGATAGATTTAAAAAATGATCGAAATCGTTTATGAAACATACACATATATTAAAGTTTATAATTGGCCATAAAAGTAAAAAAATTTATTTACCTTGTGTAATGACTTCTTCACATCCGACACATCCCACACCTCTTCAGGAACAGGAAACTTGTTTTTCCTGGAAATCCCAACCTTGTTGATTGCCGCATACAGTTCTTCAGGATTATCAGGCTTCTCCAGTTGATCCATGTCATTCGACGACATAATTTTTGGAAGCGAGTAACCGCATTCAGTTTCCGTATCCAATTCTATTCGTGGACAATTATAAAGTTTACCATCGCTCTTGATTGCTTGTTCATCCAGGGAAAGTGGTTCGTTGGATGTCGTTAAGCTTCTCTCAGATTCATCTTCCGTGTCACGAGATTCGCCTTCTGGTTCTAATCGAACGTTCACTTGCGCGTAAAGTGCGTCTTCTTCCGATGAGTACAGGCCAGACTCACAAACATTATCCTTCGTCTTTGGAATCGCGTTTACATCTTTTTGCGGGTTTTCATTCTCTTTGTTTTGATACTCTTCCAACTGCATGGCGTAACTTGGTCTCAGCTGCACGTTCTTCACGGTGTTGGCTATGGCTATTTTTGTTTTACTGTCGTGGGATTTCGTCTTTGACGGCGATGGCTTTGCCTCCATTGTTGTGGGTACTCCAAATTCTGAAACGTATTCATCAGATCTTGTGTATCTGGTATTCAAATATCTAAATTGTCACTTTAACTTCAGTTACAATAGACTCGCTTTATATTGATATGTTTTATGATTTATTATCAAGTTTAGTGGCGTTTACAAATTGATTTTAACATTAAGTAAACATTTCATTTTCATATCATTTGTTTGAAATAATCAACTCATTTCTGGGAACTAACTTGGAGATCTTTCCCGTGGAATACAATAAAGTAGTATTTAATAATAAAATTGTACAATTAATTTATTATTTTTTATTTTAGAAATAGCATAAAAAGAGTAACTGCATTATGTTTAAAATTTAAATGATACATATCCAAATAATTTTTTACTCGAATTAATTGAGTTGTTCAAACAGTAAAATATCTACACTATAACGTTGATATGAGATAAGCCATTATTTTATTTGAATGAATCTGCTTTACTAATTTAAAAAATTTGTATTTCTGGTACGGTTGTTAACTTCGGTATAAAAGGACTACAAAATATTTGAAATGTTATTTAAATAAACATTAACTGAAATACAAAATAAAACTTTGTTTTATTTCATAGCCAAATAATTAAATAATTTAGAAACCTGAATTTAGAAAAATGCTGTTTAAATAAAATAGTACATAGTTTGGACTATTTGAAATAACACCTAGCCAAATAAAGTAGTATATTTTTGAAAAAATTAGTACAAACCATAGTATTCGAATAATACCCAAGAGTAATATAAAGTCTTATGCTTAGTGGAATGAATTTTTATTTAAAAATTGTCTAGTTTGGAAATGAATATATTAATTTAAAAGTTAATTTAAAAATTAACATATTTCAAGTAAATTAGTTAATTTAAAAATTAACATATTTCAAGTAAATTAGTTTACTTAAATATTCGGTAAATTAAAGTTTAATTATTTATCTCTATCGTTTTCAAGTAACCAATCGGCTTATTAACCCCTTGGCTACTGTGGGCGCCTATAGGCGCTTAGAAATTTTGTGTTTGTATTACTGAGAGCACCTGTAGGCGCCCACTTTTATACCAACAGAGTTTTTTCCTAGCGATTAAAAAGTTTTTATAAAAAAGAGTTATGACGGCGTGTTATAACATTTATCATTTGTATTATCCTTTGTACATAAAGGAAGGATAAAAAACTGTATAGAAAGGCTTTAGCTTTGCTTTTTATAAATAAGAATATCTGACTTTTTATTATAATAAATAAGACCATAATCACATTTCTCAGAAAAAGTCACCGTAGCGAAAGGGTTAAAGTTCTGTCTCTTTGCGGAAAAAAATGGTAGCGGTTTCTCACGTACTGGAAATTAAAGATGAAGGTTTGCACTTTATGCTGCTGTAAATAGTAACACCAAAAAAAAATATGACAAATCCATGCATTTCGTCAAACTTTGTAATTTTCAATATTGCAAACGTGACCTCACATTTACGGTGTTATTGTGATAGGGATGCACCAAATCTAAAATCAAATTACAGGGCCTTAAAGTAGAGATCTCAAGCTTTAATTTAAAAAAAAGAGCGTAAATTTGCAATAATTTTTCACTTAAAAATTTTTGTATACTATATTTCTTTTGAGCAGTGTATTAACGTGTCATTATTAATGTTACAAAGAATTACGTAATAACTGCTGTTACTGTTTGTAATTTATTTATTCTGTTGCATCCAGAGTAATATTCGATATTTATTGTTCATTATGTGCATTATGTACATAAATAATATCGTACATAGTTAAATGATATTGTCTATTGTAACATTACATAATCAAAGAGCGTATATAACATGAGACGAAATTTTGACAAAGAAACTACGTTTAGAGGGAGAAAGAATAACACAACCAATTTAAATGACCATGTGTAACGTCCCTGGGGAAACTTTTTTTTCTTTCTACCGGCATCATCGCGACAATCTTCTATCCATCGATTAGAATAGTCAATTATCGACCGTAGTTGCCAATTATCGACAGTACATTAGGTATCTATTATCGATCTATCAAATTCAACAGTCGGTAATCAGAGTAGATACATATATATATATTTCATTTATAATTATCTTATAATTCTGATTTAGAATATATTAAAGGTTCGGAAAGGTTAAAGGAATATATTAATATACTCGCAGGTTCTGGATCGTTGGGTTGTTTAGCAGCTAGCTAACGCAGGCTCCCCAATTAAGCGATCTGGTTTTGGTTGTCAGTATTCGTTTTGGCTAAAAGGGTCATGGACCATTAGTTGTCGAGTCAGATAATAAAAGAGTAACTGTTCCGAAAAGTAATTGCAATTCTACATTCAACAAAATCAATTTTTATTTAATAATGCACATAGCTTAAATATTTATGTACTGTATGCAAAATTAATATCTTCAAATCAAGTTTATCTAATCAAGCTTAATTTAGTCGAGCTTTTCTTATAATCGATTATCAATATTTAATGCCTTATTTTATTTGAAAAAGCAGAAACAAAGTTTAAACTTGAGACGCACCTTTCGCGAGTCCCTGAAGCGAAGTGAGCTCCGAACGCAGCGTTAAAAAGAACTGGTGGTGTAAAGAGGTAAGCTTGAAAGCGAAGTAACTTCTGAAAAATAAAAATGCTCTTCGATTCTAAACTTCTATGATATTTAATACAATATATTAAATATTCTTTTAAATTCTATTCGAAAGCAAGAAACTCGAACATTTGGCGTGGATACCATTTCACATTTATTCGTTTCGTTGTATTTATTTACAAACTTCTTCCTTGTAGAAATTTAAATGCATCAAATAAAACGCTTCACAGATAATGTTTCAATACCTTCCATATTTATAAAAATTCTATATAAGTCTTGCTGAACTATGATTTAAGTGGTGTAATTTCAAAACTGTCTACGTGCACTGTATTTGAAATATTTATGGATTTAACTTTTGAATATTTAAGGTGAAAATTTACATGCATACTTAATAACACAATGCTTAGGATTTAATAATACAGTAATAGTACATTGATTAAACTTATTATACAAAAATTTAAAAACATAATTTCTATCATTTCTAAAGTATTAATCTGCTACTTATGGCAATACCGTACATCACCATTAGTATACAATTAAATTATGTTACATGACAATCATTTTATTATAAAATTATAAATGTAAGATATATTTAGAAAAAAATGATATATATAAATATTTCTTTAGGAAAATATTTAGCTAGTTCTATCTATTTCATATATGACGATTTGCTAGATTAATTGTGAAGCATTTGAGATGAAACGGGATGGATAAAGCAACTCCTGAAATTGAATTTAGTGTAAACAGAATACTTGTGGATAATAATCCTGATTTTTAATGCCTGATTTCAAACGGATAAAGTTAAATATAAAGCTGGTTTGTGTTATATCAGATATTAATTGTACCATTAATTACCCGACTAGCAGTTCAATAAATTTAAATTTGATTTCAATTAATTTATATTATATTAGATTTCAATTACTTTACGATGACTGGCCAACAATTAGACAAGTAGACGAATAAAAACTTGAATCGAACTCGAATCCAATTAATTATAAAATGTAGACCAAATATACTTTAAACCTAACACACAAAGTAGTACAAACTTATCTCAAATATCACAAATTCGATATGAAAGATGTCTCTGACTAAAACATCAAGAGTATATAAAGACCAATAAATTAAGAAAACTAGTCCTTTAGAGATTATGTTTGCTCCATTTTGCGAAAGTCGCAAAAGGGGAACAAAAAATTTTTTATTTACATTTGTCATTTATTTATATAAGTTATCATTTACTTAATAAAGGTGCTACTCAATACGACTTTTAATAGCAATGCAAGAATTCTATATGACATTATAGGAAGTGAAAGAATATTTATAGGTACTTCAAGGAAAAGTCTAATGAAAGCTAAGTGAGAACCAAGGATGAAGTTAGAGAAAATGCAATGAGAATCTAGGGAGAGCCTATGCCAGACACTCCTTCTCTTACATTCTCTTGTATCCAAGGAATATCTACATTTCATCCAAATATTCATATTAACAATTTCATTTTACCTAATCCGTTTCTTACTTTCGAATAGTACTCAATGACAGAAAAACTTAGTCAACTATAAAAGAATTCAACTCACTTTCGATGATCCATTCTCAGTTTAAATTTACACCGTTTTCCATTTACTTTGCTATACACGACGAGGCAACTCTTGCTGTAACTCAGTGTTTGAATATCTTTCCACTGAAACTGTGCCAGCTCAATTCTTTCTCTCGGTTCGCCGCCTCTCTCGAAGAGCTTCAAACCCTGCGCATGTATAGCCAGCCATACATTACTTTCCGTCTTCTTCTTTCCACTCTTACCAGTCTTTCCGCCGTGATACAAGTTATTATTGTTGTTCGCATTATTAATGTTATTATTGTTGTTACATGCATCTACGCGACACTTGGACGATTTCTGGGCCGAGTATATATCCGTCGAGGTGGCACTCTTCATCAAACCACCCAGGTTTTTCCCCTCGTACGAAATCTTTGGGATATTTTCGCAGGAACCTAATCGTGTTATCTCGACTCTACCACGCAGCGGATATTCTTGTTGCTTATTCTGAGAGTAAATGTTTTCTGGACCGGCGGGGGTATCGCGATTATCGCTAGTTTTCCTTCTTCTTTGTTGGGCCATCACTTTTTCCAATTCCTTCGAATCCACGGTTGCTATATAGTAATGAGACCCATAATCTGGTAATGTTTGCGCGTGAGTTATGAACATTTCTTCGGCTTTGTTCGAATCTAAACCACGTCTGTCACGGTGAGCTTGATGGAGTCGAGCACGAAGTGCTTCCGCCCCTCCGTTATTGATTTGCGATTGATGTTGATCCATATTTAAGATAAGAGACTCGGGAATATAGTGCTCAAGAAGGAAGTAATCACCGCAGCCGTGTTCCTGAAGCAAAAGCAAAATGTAAATAGTTATTTCGTCAAGAGCGTAGGATTTAAACGTATCAGTTTTGGAGGATAGAAAACTGGTAATACTTGTGAGAGGGTTAGAATTGTATTTTCGTATATGTTATACACTGCTCAAAAGAAATATGGCATAGAAAAATTTTAGGCAAAAATTGGCCAAATTCGACTGATGATAACTCCGTGAAAAATCATCGCAAAGTTATGCTCTTTTTTTTAAATTAAAGCTTGAGATCTCTACTTTAAGACCCTGTAGTTTGATTTTAGATTTGATGCATCCCTACCACAATAACACCGTAAATGTGAGGTCATGTTTGCAATATTGAAAATTACAAAGTTTGACGAAATGCATGGACTTGCCACATTTTTTTGGGGCGATACTGTTTACAGCAGCATAAAGTACAAACCTTTATCTTTAATTTCCAGTATGTGAAAAACCGCTACCATTTTTTTCTGCAAAGATACAGAACTTTAAAGAAACCCTTGCATTTATGGCATAT